GACAATTACCATTCCCATGACTCAAGCGGAATGTATTTGGATTAGAATAACAATCGGCCAAGCCTCCCTTGTGGTAGGGAACATCTACCGTCCCCCGCGGTCCGACCCGGCAGAGTTCGTGATGGAACTGGAGAGAGCCATAAAGCTAGTTGAAAGACCCCAGGATGAGATACTTCTCCTTGGCGACTTCAACGCCAAGAACTGCTTGTGGCACCCCAGCGACACCACTGATGCCTTAGGTGAGGACCTGCATTGGCTGTGCGAGACTCGTGGCCTCACACAACAAGTCTCCTTTGCCACCCACCTACGCCAACACACACCTGCATCGTGCCTTGACCTGACCATCTCTAGCCTCAGCCGCCATAACATCACCATCACAAGCCTGCCTCCTATAGGTGCCTCTGATCATGTTGTCATACAAGGCAACCTACGACCCCAGCAGCACACCACCCACAGAAACAACAATACCAATTATAATAAAAATGAGAGCAGTACTATACAGCAAAGCACCTCCAGCGCATACTGGTTGTGGAGCGAAGAACGCATTGCGTCCCTGCGTGAAGCTCTTGCTATCTGCAATCTGCAGTACGATCCACATCCCACTGATCCTCAGCCAGTAACCTCATTCCGGAACTTCTGGAGAGACCAGATACTGAAACTAGCCGTGCACCACTGCCAAGTGGCCAGCAGCAAGTCCCGCAAAAATACTACGCCCACTCGTCCCTGGATGACGAAGGATCTCCTCAGCCAGATCAAAACAAAGCACAAACAGTTCCGCACCTACAAGGCGACCCAACTAGACTCAGATTGGAAACTGTAGACAGCCCAGCGTAACCGAGTAACCGCTCTTTTGCGACAGGCTAAGTCCGATTTTGTCCAGCAAACAACGTCAACGGGTACAAACCTCCACCGTCTACTGAAGCACCTGAAGAAACCGCCTAAGCAAACAATTCCCACACTATCGACAGCCAACTCCACTGCAGCCACGGCTATGGAGAAGGCAACAACTTTCAACAAGTTCTTTATCTCCCAAAGCCAACAGCCCTTCGACAAGACCACCTGTACTACACCAGACATCAACAATACCCCTGACATCAGTCATACTCTAAATACAATCGCAGCAACAGTGGAAGAGGTCGAGAAGCTTCTAAGCAGTCTAGACACTGGCAAGAGCCCAGGCTTTGACAACATCCCAACTCGGCTCTTGAAAGGAACTGCAAAGGAAATCTCCCCATCTCTCACTAGTCTCTACAATCTGTCCTTCAGAACCGGAGAAATACCACAGGATTGGAAAGACGCAACTATTACACCCATCCCCAAGTCGGGCAACCCCTCCCATCCTACCAACTACCGACCCATCTCCCTGCTCAGTATATTATCAAAAACACAAGAAAAAATAGTCCACTCTCGTCTGTACAATCACATAGCTCCGCATTTACCCTCCAACCAATCCGGCTTCAGGAGACAAGACGGGAGACTACAACTCGCACGGATCGTCCACCAGATATCCACAGCTAGGGATGCGGGGAAGCATGTTGTAACGTGTTTCTTCGATCTCAGTAAAGCCTTTGATCGTGTATGGCATCAAGGCTTGCTGAAAAAGCTGAGCCACTACGGTGTCGACGGCAAGGCTCACAATTGGCTCGAAGCCTACTTGACAGGACGCAGACAGCGGGTGCAGGTTGAAGGCACAACATCCGCCTTCATACCAATATCAGCGGGAGTGCCCCAGGGCTCGGTCCTGGGACCACTTCTGTTCCTGGCGTACACCATTGTCCTGCCCACTGCCTGTGAAAATGCGACAACCTCGTGTAGCCAGTTCGCGGACGACACCGCACTAATTGCCATTGCAGGCAGCTACATTGAGTGTGAGGCTGGGCTACAAAGAAGCGTCGATGCCGCAGCAGAATGGCTAGAGCGCTGGCACCTGCTAGTCAATAAAACGAAAACCGTCATCCTCCCGTTCTACCATGCTAACCAACCACCACCACGACTACCCGAAATAAAACTTGGCCAAACCCTACTAGAAACAGTAAATCAACATCGTCACCTCGGCATCATCTTTCAGCACGACCTAAGATGGTCAGCCCACCTTGACTTTGTGCTGAAGAAAGCCGTAAAATCTTTTAATATTCTCTTTAGGCTCAAATCAACTCTACACACTAAATCACTCTCTCTCTCATTAACAAAACGTATATCCTGCCAATAATTGAATATGCATGCATTGCTGTCACCCCGCTCTCAATCGCAGCCCTTGACCGCCTTGAGCGAATCCAGCGCAAGGCGGCCAGAATCTACCTCCGTCTCCCCCTCTACACTCCTCTGGATCATTCAACACTGCTCCATCAGCTCAAATGGCCGACAACGTTCTCTCGCCGCAAAAAGAAGCTCACCCTTCTTGCTCACTCTATAAAATACCAATATGCCCCACAACACATACGCTTGCTCAACACTCCCGCTCAAGTTACGGCCCAGTACAGCCTTCGACACGCACGCACTTGGCACCTCCCACCCTCCAGAACCGATCGCTGTAAAGACTCCCCACTGTTCAAGTCTCTAGAATAGTACGATGACCTCCCTACTAGCATTCGTGACGTCTCCTCCTGACCTGCTTTCAAACAAGAAATCTGCTTACTGCTGATTAACTTAATCTGCTCCTGCAGCGCTCACCCTCTCCCATACTTGTAAAGTTCAAAGTGATGTAAATCACTTTCCAACTGTTTAACCCACAATCTCATAAATATAACTCTTATTGGCGATGGTGCCATCGTGAGAATAAAGAATTCAAACAACAACAACAACAACAACAACAACAACAACAACAACGACAACAACAACAACAACAACAACAACAACAACTACTACTACTACTACTCTTGCAGCAACAGCAACAGCCTTAGCAACAGCAACAGCAACAGACGGCGACGGCAACAGCAACAGCAACAGACGGCGACAGCAACGGCAACAGCGACGGCGACGATTTTGCTAGAAGTTTTCATTTCTTATTGGCTGAGATTTACGAAAAAAATAATTTTTATGTGAGGTTTTGAATTCCGAATTACGGCACAGCGTTCTTCGGTCATTTGTCGAACATCAAAATGTCGAATTTTCGCACCAACGTTTTTTTTGCAAGTCGAAAGTGATGTGTTTTCATTTCGCGAGCCCCATCATCAGCAACGTCCTGTCCCGTTTCTTGCTGATTCCAACGAACTTTGATCGCCCAAAGAGTCGAGGGCCAAACCTGCCTCCTCAGTCGCCTCAGAAGAACCAACTCCATGGCCAAGTCAAATTTTATGCGTGTCGCCATGGTCTTTTCAGCCACACAGATTACGGTGAGGACACTCCAGGCGGAAGAGAGTAGACAGGCAGTGGAGAGAAGGAATCAGAGGTAGCTTACGATGCTATGTCGCCAAAGACGCCTGCCAAGCGATGCCGAGATAAGAAACCTCTTTGAATAAATCACGCGCTAGCGCTCTTCTACAAGAAAATGCATCTGAAAAATATTTTCCGCAAAGTGAACTTTTTCCCAACAAATACGCCGAATCTTCGTGTGCATTTTCGACCTCGCTCCCGCGTGCCGAATCTTTTTACCGAATTTCGGAATGCAAAAACCTCGCTATTGCTACCAGGTTCGGCCTCATTTCCTCTATGCTGCGCTGACGAGTCCACAAAGGACGGCTCTGTCCGCAAATTGAGTATTTCGCTTCTGCTCTTGTAGCAGTTGAGCACTCTTGCGTGGGGTAGTGCCTTTGCTGTTTGCGTTATGCAGAGCTCACTGACTTGTCAGTTTGAGCACCCTGGCAAGGTACGGTCGGGCCTGGTTTAAATTTGGCTTTGGAAATTTTATTTTTCATTGCTACCAGGTTCGGCCTCATTTCCTCTGCGCTGCGCTGACGAGTCCACAAAGAACGAAACAGTTCTGTCCGCAGATTGAGTATTTCATGCTCTTGTAGCAGTTGAGCACTCTAGCGTGGAGTAGTGCCTTTCCTGTTTGCGTTATGCAGGGCTCGCTGACTTGTCAGTTTGAGCACTCTGGCAAGGTACGTTCGGGCCTGGTTTAAATCTGGCTTTGGAAATTTTTTTTTCATTGCTACCAGGTTCGGCCTCATTTCCTCTGTGCTGCGCTGTCCACAAAGGAGGAAACAGTTCTGTCCCCAGATTGAGTACAGATATAATACAATAATTTCTCTGTCTGTCACTCGGTCTGTCTGTCTCTGCCTGTCGTTATCTCATTATTTCTGTCTTTCCCCCTGTTCCTCTTTTCGTCTCTCTTTCTCCCTCTATCTCTCTCTCTCTCTCTCTCTCTCTCTCTCTCTCTCTCTCTCTCTCTCTCTCTCTCTCTCTTTCTCTCTCTCTTTCCCTCACCCCCTCCTGGATGCAGGCTCATTTCATCCGCTTGCTGGGCCACTTCTTGCTCTATTGTCATGTCTTCCCCTTGGCTCAGTCTTCCTATTTCTTTCTCTGCTGGACTGTTTACTTCCGTACATAATTTTCAAAACCATCTATGCTCCAACTTCCGAACGGATGCCAAAATAATTATGCCCGAAATTTTCAACCACCAAATTAGTCCAATTATAATATCCGCATAATCCGCCGGTGCCTACTACCCCTTGCTTATAGCCAGCGATGCTCTACCACTAATCTATGATTCAGCCGTCTTCTGAAAATGCCTTGGTTGTTACGACCAGAACCCCGCACCGTGAACCCTGGTTTGGTGGCCGGAACTATTTTACCGCTAGGGCTACCGTCAGACTAGAAACGATACATGTAGTTCAATAATAATTGTCTTCATGCGGCCATATTCACGCTTTCTGTGAATCACTGTAGGCTGGTGTGACGTAGCCCACCAAGAGTTCCTAAATGTAGCTACCTCTTCACTACCACCCTTCTTTCTGCGGAGGTTTACTCATGATAGGTATTGTACAAGATAAAAAGGGTGATCGCTGCCGCTACTATCGAACTTATCTAAACATAAGCCGTAATATCCGAGAGTATCTTACCGACTGGATACGCGGCACTCGTTCGCCCACACCTATAGCTGAAGTAGATCAAAATCCCGATGCACAGCCACAGCTGTATCTGCAATGTGGCCATTCGTATCTCGATGCGAAACGTCTGCGACCTTGTTCACTCGTCCATTAGCTCAAGGAAGCAACCTGCACTTACCACTGAAAGCATTACGCTTTGAGTTGGACAAAATACTTATAGCTACATGTAAAACTGTTTTGTGTGTATACTGCTCTGTACATTTGTACATTGAGCACTCTACCTCGGGCTTCCTAGACCAGCCTTGTTTGGAGCTACATGTATGTAGTTATGATTTCGTGTGATGTCTGTGATACGAGAAACTGTGATTCGCACTCCGTGAACAGCTTAGTTTGTCACCTGCTAGTACAACAGTAGACAGTTCACGTATTACCACATGTCTGGTGTGCTTCCTGTTGACAGCTTGTTACCACCTGTGTTGGTTTGTACCAGCAAAAATGGAGTTCCAAAATCTGTCCTCATACCTAGTCATTCGTTCTTATTATCATCTGTCACAATACAATCATGAACTGTTCATTTTGTACGACCTTTTAGCCCCTTACCTCTCTTCTTCCAAAAAATCGCGTTCGCTCCGGGCCGTGATTTCGGTGTTCATCCTGCCACCGCTGAGTGATTCTCTACACTATCGCGACAAGCTTTAAATCTCCGGAAAAAATGTGCTCAAGCCCTTTCCAACGGTATATTGTTTGCGCGATGCGAGTATGTTTCACAGAGTTACGATAGTTTGTACACTTGTCTATGCACTGCGATATGATGCGCGTTCGCTCCGGGCCGTGATTTCGGTGTTCAGTACTCCTTGTACGGTTTGTGCTAGATTGTGCACGCCTGACTGTTCAGCATCTTGAGCAGCTGGTGGACTCGATCACATAACTTGTACCCGCATTTTCCATGTTGAAAATATAATTTTAAAACATAAATGTGGGATATGAATGTACGGTTATAGGATTTTTCACGTCATTCAGAGTTTATACCCATCCGATTCAGTTCCCACCTACATGTCCGATCTGCCGCAAGCCGGTGTGCATGACCATTGAATACTTGAAATCGAATTGTTTTTCACCACAAATTACGAAATAATTTAAGTTTTAGCACAGACGGCATGCAATAGACATAGAACACATTGCTGCTTGGATTTAAATATCAGCCCTAAGGCCGCGGTCACACCAAATAAGCCGTTTTCAGCTTTCGCAGAAAGAAGCGTGTGCTGAATGAAGAAGCAATTGGTCACATCGACGTACGAGATCCGCTGCCTTGTGTTGCGTGTTGTACAGGTTTTTTCTCCATGCTCTTTTTTTGAATTTGATTTTCTGTGTAACATGAACGTGGCAATCAGCGGAGTTTTGGTACCGTACTGGGAGAGCTAGAGGAGCTTCATTGCCACATTGGAACCAGGTTGCTTGTTTGAAAGATTGAGGGAGGTCCTCTGAATGACTGAATCGCGCTTGGTGTCACCGCGGCCTAATGCCTAATGCACACTTAGTCTTGGTGGTGTGGCATTGGGAACGTTGCTAAACATGGTTATTAGCTCGCCTACCCTTCTCGTTTGATTGGCATAATTAATATTTCAAAGATATTAGTGGAGCGGCTTGCATGCACGAGTCTGTCTCATTCAGGAGCTGTGTTTGTAGTGTGACAGAGAAAAAATCCTACTTATGGGACAGGTCGGGTACTCTGCACAGGAATGGCCACATGATGCACAATTACTACGAACGAGGTTAGTCAGCCTGCCGTGAGCAGGAACTGCCAACTTTAGTGTTGGAAACGCAGCTGTCCATCCTCAATGTCCTTTATATCTATTGTTCTTGTACGTTCAAGCAATATCTAGAGACGATTGGTGTATCGTGATTGATTACCAGCGGATGTTTCAACGGACGGCGTAACGGCACCACCTGCCCGTGCAACCTAAGAGTTGCAGCAGGTTTCGCAATTCAAATGCCACTGCGTTTCTCGCGAATCGCTCGCCATCAGCACAGCTGACCAGGCGGTTGTCACAGTTGCAAAAAGCCAAGTTTGGTTCGTGTAGTTCGCCATGACTCACACCGAGCAGATCAATGTGTCGGCCAGTCCATGCTAGCTCCAAGCAACACTGTGTGGCCATTTCATGAACTACGCGTAGGAGACCCAATGTGCATGATGCAAGATATTAGCATTCCGTGAGAACACCAAACATCAATGCTAATTCAACGGAAGGTAACTAAAATGTAAACACGTACGGTGATAGAAGAAAAGGCGTGCAGCTTACACAAAGCGGCACCAGTCCAGAGCATTTAGCATTAAAACATAGCAATAAGTAATGCACTCGAGCCTCTAAGACTTGATTTCCACAAACAGAGAATACAAAGGCACAGCTATCAGTGCAAGGCACAATCTTGTATGTGTTAGCTCTTGGCGCAGATACTGGCATCAAAATGTAGCAGAAAGCATGCAAAGGAAAAGTATCATTATGTGAACATCTTGGCAGGTGGTATTCTTCATTCAAGATTTATCTGAGGCCAAAGTTGCCACTAAATCAAGAACCGTGTGAATTTAGCAACGTAAAATAATTTTAAGAAGCACATGTATGTATTCAAACTAGATCTTTTCTGGGGAATGTGAAGCATCCCACGTGCACGATGTGTATTTTGGTTGTAGCAAGACATTTAACACACACATTTAAGACCATTTTGCTCTGGTGCTCCGTTTATGAAATGCGTGACCTCTGCATACGAATGATGAAGCTGCCCTATCATAATTTTATATATCGCCTGTGGATGTAAAAAATCAAGGTGAGTATTTTTGTGAGCATTTTAGAGAGAAAATGTGGATAGATAATAATTATGCAATAAAAAAGCTGAAATATTGGTGGTGATTGAAATCATATCCAAAGACGCAGTTGGGTCACCCCTGCTTGCTGTCGCGTACAACACCATCCAAGACTGTGTTATCATAGATGTCTTCGGCATCGCTTGCACCACAATTGGTCTGTAACAAATCCAGCATAAACGAATAGAATCGATGGTATCTGGCCAATCAGGCGCGTGACATTTCGTCCGGAGACATTTAGAGGTGATCAATTCAACGGATGACAACATCGCGAATGTGCTGATTCGCAGCTTGACTTTTTCGCCCAATAACACATTCAGCGAGTACATTTCGACGAAGTTACATTTCCACCGCCGACCCTGTCGCCGAATTTAACTGAAAAACTGTAAGCTTTGGGTAAGGAACCTATAATCTTGGTGACTGAATCATGGACGCTTATCCCGATTTTACTGGCCTAACTTTGCGAGGCAAGCCCAAACTAGTCAAGGATAGGTATGCCTAAGTGCAAGACAAGAGAGGAAGAAACGAAACTGTTTTATACTGGAGTTGCGAAAGCGAGACGAGCTGTCAAGCAGAGGCTGCATGAAGACCAAAAAAATCCGCGATGAGTCAGGACTCTTCCCGCCAGATCGTCCAGGGTCACTTGGAAAAGGGGTGAGCTGGAGTGACCTTACCATATCTCGTAGCTCTGGAGCCGGGGAACAGAGCTCAGAGCCCGAAATGCAGCCGACAACACCAGCTAACGTTGGCACACTGGTGGTACTGGACATGTACATGAAAACGCACGGCGGGGGGGGGGGGGGGGGGGGGAGGAATTCCTAATGTTTCAAAGTATATTGATGTTCTGAAGGCTAGGATAACATTTTCACTATGTATTTTGGCACCAGGTGTGTAAGAGATAAGAATTCGGCGAAATGCACTGGAGTCGAAAAACCATCTCCCATTTCGTAATCGCCTAAACAGCAATTTGTGCTCAGTCGACCGCAATGATATTGTCACTGGTTTTCAGCGACTGACTTAGAACCGATTGTACTGGTTGCTATCACGTGTTTCTTGCGATCCTGATAGTCATACAGCGCCAGCAATTGTGCTAATATTAAAATATGGTTTGTTGAAGCTTTTACTCTGTACCATATCGTAGCTAGCCAGAGGCATTCAGACTTTTTCAATTTCCAGTCCCTATGTATACGTCATAATTATTGTCAAAACATAGAATTAAAAAAAACTCCGCCGAACGTAAAACAGACTTATTTTTTTATTTTTTTTGTTCGCGACGGTTAGCGCCATGTTGGATTTCCGAATTTGTTTATGAAAAATAATGCCTTTCAGAGTGGAAAAATGGGACGCGATCATGCACAGTAAATAGTTTGACCATGACTTCGCAGCGCGTGCTCGAGTCGAGACAAGATTTGAGGAAGAAGCTCAGCCACTAGTGCTAGTGGACTTGCGGATTTGTTTTGACATTGGCGGTTTTTGGATAGCGCGGTTCTCCTGCCGACGTGTCGTGGAGATGAAGACGCGGGAGAGTAATCCGTCACCCGCGACGCGGCCTCTCATTCTGCATACTGGACGATGCAACAAGCCGAGGAGGGGAACGCTTCGCAAACTCAAACGATCGATCGAGTTCCTGAAAACTGAAAGGGCGATCTCCACCACTAACGGCACTGGATTCGACTCCCGCGAAGAGGTCGTTCAGTGCCCCTCTTCACGGTCGACGAATCGTTCATCTCAGGTATCTGACTGTGGGATTGTCTGCGTGCCAGAATCCTGGATGTGGCAAACCTCTGGCGCTCATTGATTGCGTTGAAGAGAAGAGGTACGTACTTGTCATTCCGTGTCAGCAGTGTGGGATGGAGAATTTTATAGATACAGATAGCCCTGTAACTGCTCAACACCCTGGCCCCGTGCTTCCACAAGCAACACCAAAGCTGCTTTCGGTAAGTGCGTTTTTCAATCTCATAAGATTTATTCATGATATTGCGAGTAATTGCCACCCTATTGCTATGGAAATGTATGAGCACACTGTATGCGCGGCGGCCGCGAGCGTCTGTGTGTTTGCATTGACCTGCATGTTTGTGCATGTATGAACATGCACATGCATATGCGCTCATGTGGACGTGCCCTTGCACACATACTATACACACGAGCATGACCGCTCCCAGGGCATGTTGGTGTGACATGTGTATGCTGGCATCTCCACTCATGCACTTGAGTGTGCACATGCATGTGGGTGGGTACGCACACGTGCGTGAATGTATGTGTGTGTACGTGCGCGTGTGTTCTATTGCATGTGAGAGCATGCATGTGTGTGTGTGTGTGTGTGTGTGTGTGTGTGTGTGTGTGTGTGTGTGTGTATGTGTGCACGGATGTGTGTGTCGATGGTGGGCATTTTTGTGCTGGGTGAACACTCTGATCCCTAAACCGCGATACAGGAGCTCCGGAGCTACAGCCTCAGATTGATTTATAGTTCATCGTTGGAAATGATTTCGCTGCTCATGATGCTGTTGCGGATGTTGCGGCCCCAGCTGAAATTGTCGAAGCTCGCCCTGATGGCAGTATCCTGTAGCACTCTGTCACTTTTGCATCAGCATGTTCGGCGATGGAGTTTGCAGAACATCAGCAAAAGCGGCTGGCCACCCTTCAACCGTTGGTCCAAGGAACGTGCTTCTCTAAATCAGTTGCAGTGCGGGCAGCTGCCAGTGGGTTGGTGATGAAGCCCTTTGTCTTGTCCTACAAACGAAGTGGTGAGCCAGCCATTTCCAGACTGATGAAGGAGCAAGTCGGAGGTTAGAAGCGGGTGACAGTCTCAAGGAAGATTATATTAGCGGTGGCTGAACACCTAACGAAGAACCAGCAGCAACCCAACTGTAAGGAACGCCCTGTGGCACAGTGCTTCACTTGTTTGTGCGCACCGAAAAATACCATCCTTTTTGCCAGTGTGAGGACACGTTCTAGCTCGCATAGTTTACGAACAAGAGGAGTCAATATCGTCTGATTTGTTCCAACATGTCAGCTTTCATTGTAGTTCTATATGGGGCAGTGCTAAGCGCTATGATAGCTACATGTACATGTATCACAACCAAGTACCAACAGGAGAGTAATCATGGAGAAAAGTACCTATCGATAATGCGTGCACCCAGGGTTTTCCTGCAAATTTACCAGTTCAGCTATTTCATCCTTGTATTGTTCTGAACGCCGAAGGCTCTGGTGAGTTTATGCAACACCTAACAGCCAAAATTCCAATACGTTATGACCAAAGCAGCAGCAGAGAAGTACAAGCAATATAGATACGTGAATTTACCAATTTTAGGCAAATTTTGACAGTTTTTTGGATTTTTCTCCAGAATATGCACGGTGACCCCTATTTTCGCCGCGGTAAACCTGTTCCAACTCACTTATAGAACGTGTTTTAAGTATCCAAATATGGGGCAAACTCAAAAATAAGCTGCAAAATACATTCAAAGTTTCATTTTTTGCGTGTTTTTGTTCTTCTCCAGGAAATGGCGACCTGGATCCCACCGTCAACCAAAGTGTACATGTTTCGGTGTTGATATCATCTTAGTCAATACCTCGAACAATCTGTAAAATTGTATGTCATATTTTCTGTCCTAACTGATGTTATGGACGATTTCTCATCAATTTTTGTATTTTGTGTTATTTTGTGTCATCAAGGAAAATTGTGTTTTTGGCAAGACCTATTCAGGCAATTGAAAAACTGATATTACTGAGCGAAAATATAAGGCTGTACCTATTCAAACCTGATGTCAGATTGGGCTGATGCTGAAATTAAATATTTGGGCCTAACTGTCCCGAATCCCCTTAGTACAAAATCTAATAATCTCCGCTAAGTTCCTACGCAGCGTCGCTTATTTTCAGGTGTGTGTGTGGGGGGGGGGGGGGCTCTGAGAGTATAAAAGAACCATAATAGAAAGTGAGAAACACAACGAAGGATAAATACATGAACAACAGTTTTCACGACACTGAGCTACCGAGAGAAAAGTTTTGTTTTTTCACGGCTGAGCGTAGCGAAAGAGTGCAAAAAACGTATTTTTCACTCACAAATATTTTCGTGCATTTGCTCTTGTTCTGCGTGAGTGTGATTGCTCTGGTAGACCACTACCCCATGTACTGAACAGTTGCTTTGTGAGTGAAAAGCATGAAAAACGGATTTTGTACCCTATGCATCCAGACATTAATTCAGATATTAACTCACCGTGAAGGTATCTGCTACGGCAACATGAATGGGATTACAGATTGTGACATCTGACGTTCCCTTATGGTCTCTTTGAGCCTGAATACACGGAGCACATGCAGTACAGCAAATGCGGGTAAAATTTTCTGTGAAACAATACAGGGATAGCCCACACCCAATGTTTTAGGTGGGGGTGGGGGGGGGGGGGGGTTAGTCCTTTGTCTACACCGTTGGGTATATGCACGAAGAGCACTGGCACGGTACGAACAACAAAAATCTATCACCAGATTGCTGATTCTCCCTTTTCCATGTACGCAGCATTCATCCAACATATGAGCCCCGGCCAGCGAAAACCAGCACTTGTGTACTTGATATCAATCATCAAAATGTGACGTCAAAGTTTGGGACGCGCAGTGAGCTGGCTTTTGAAGATTCTTTTTCGATCGAGTGGGTGTCTTTGTTGTCAAAGGAGTTTCAAGGGTCTTCAAATGTCTCTGGTCAATCGATTTTAGCGCTAGGTGAGAGCTCGTCACACGGAGGTTGAGTTTAGACACAGCGATGGCGACAGGTGTCGCGACAAAGACTTAGGTCCAGAGTTGTCAGCGTGAGACTCCCTGTACGAAGCGGCGCTGAAAGTTAGTTCGCGATCGGAATTATTTCTTTCGTGGCGATCTCGCTGAGTTTGTCCAGCAGTGGCGAGTCTCATATGCATAGCAACGAAGAGCCCTCATAAAATCGACACTGGATACTGGTGGCGACGATAGTCAGTGCGGGAGTAATGGCGACTGCGAGGAGAAGCTGAATGTCGACCCGCTGAGCGATCCGTATTTCTACATCGACAACAATGATGTTGCAGACACTGATGGAGGGCTTCTCACGGCGCAAAACAGAGCGTAGTATTATCAGTACTCTACCTTGCCAGACGACGCCAAGCTGGCTGCTGCCTGTGCTGAGAAAGGGGATCCCTAGAATGTCAAACCGGCTGAACGCTTTGGGGCAACATCTTCACGTGCTACAAAACGCGAGTATTCGCTCATATCATTGAAATACAATTATGCTGAAATCATGGTCTGAGTGAAAGTGTGCAAGGGAGTGGATGTCAGTGGTATTGGTCAGTACATCTATCAGTATGGCAAGCTTTGGGACAACGCTCAAACTGTCAGCACAGAGGTCCCTGAACACAATTTGGAAGGCCAGCCACCAATCATCGTTTTGCACTCCGGTGTTGTAAATAAGGTAGTGATGTATATGGAATATCGTCACACTTCTGAACTACTCATGCCTGCAGCACCAAGAGGGCAAGCCTGACTTGCATTCTATTTACTTGCATGTACCTGTTCCACATCACAATCAGAAACTGTAGGATCAACTTGCATGGAGTCACTAGGCATGGATGCTGCACCAACTGTACTGAATCTTGACCTGTGTGACTTCAAACTCTATTTTCCATGCTTTCGCTCATCAGATTGTCACCAAACTTGATAACTTGAATGATTAATAGTGTAGAATCGATTTCGAGCGAAAAAATAATTTTTGAAAAAATTACACATGTTCAGGTTTCTGCTGGCTGGGGCTCATATTGTAATGCACAGTATTATCCACCACTAGCAAGGAAGATCGATCTGCGGAAGAGAATATCATTCGGGATAAGATGTCCAAAGATTTCAAACATTGAAATAAATTTATCGCAGCCGAAGTTGTGACAATATCTAGTATACTAATTCGCGACCGCGTGGAAATCGCGAAATTTAGACAGCGCAAAAAGGAAATCATGAAAGGTTTAGCAAGAATGCCACAGTGCTATATAGTAGCACATTCTGCAAAATTAAAACCTCGCAAACCTGTCCGGATTCTGAAAACGCGAACTAAAAACGCCGCGAAAATTTCACGCTTTACAGTATTGAGTATCTTCATGGCCATAGTATCGGTTTGCCACGCCAGTTAGTCTGTACAAACTTGTGATATCCAATACTCACCATGTCAACTTGGCTCATTCTCAACTCCGAAGACGCCTTCATCTTGGATCGATCCAGAACGTCATAGTTCAGGCCCATGTTCCCATCCTCTGTCGGTGAGTAGCACTCACGCAACGTGTTGTACACGTTATCAGGATCAATCGTGGACTGCGACTGCTGTAAAAAGGAACAAATAAGTAGCGAAAACACAAAAAGGATAGTTCTGGACGGATACTCCAGTTGAAGAACGTTCAGACTGGTCCACTTACTCTGCAGACAAGTAGTTGTTTCAATATTTTTCGACTTGCTGAGCGGACTGCAGAGGCACTGGCCAAACCGATCGCAGTGAAAAATTAATTTTAGAGTGCTCTAACTCCTTAATTTGGCCAATGATCCCAAAAACAGTGTGGGTTTTTAAGAAACGCAGACCCATTTAATAATAACAAGACAGTGTGACAATCGGTGGCTGACATTGCAGCTTGAAACAGTGCCCTGTGCACAAGAGCACAAAGTGCTATACATGTGGACGAGCACAAAAATAACAGGGCATGAATTCTGTCCATCCTCAAACAGCACGCATGTGAAATGGTATACAGAGAAACAGCTTCTCGTGTGCCTAGGTATATGGGCATTTTCGATCAGAAGGCGCAATACTGTTATCGCAGTTGTCTCACCTTGACTCGTGGCTGTAAAACCTGTAATGAGCGAACCAGTTCTGTGTTGTCATAAGCACCTTCATCGACTCGCATCATCACTCGGCTATTGGATGCAGATATCGCGCTCATGTGGCCTGCGGATACAGCTGGCCGTAATGATGTTGTATCAACTGGCAGAGTAAGGGCTGTGTTGTCATAGAAATCCTCGTCTACAGCTGGCTGGGTGCAAGGTTCAAGCTTGTTCACTCTGCTATTGGAAGAAAACTTCGAACTCAGTTGGCCCCCAGATACAGCTGGCCGTAATGATGTAGAATTATGTGGCAGGGTGAGTGTTGCGTTGTCATAGAAATTCTCGTTCATAGCAGGCTGGGTGAAAGGGTGAATGGAGAACTGGAACTTTTCACGGAATGTCGGAGCCACGGTATGGGAATCTAAAGCTGGCTTGTTGTCATACGTGTCCTCATCCATAGATGCGATCAAGATGGCACATGCTTGAGCCCGACTCGGGGGTCCTTCAGGGGCTGCTACAGCTTGTGAGTTAGCCAGAAAATCAGTATTGTCGTAAGTATTGTCGTCTCTACACGTTAGAACGTCATGATGCTCATCTTTATGGCAAGCCCGTGCTAAGGTGAATGCCGCTGTGTTCTCGTAGTGGACATCATCGCCTGGTCCAAGAGCATCATAATACAGACCACTGCCCCTATCCGCAATAGGCACCAGGGACCTCTGTAGTAAAACATGAGAGAGGGAAATGATTTAATTTACCAGGCAACCATGAACCATCAGCTCTGTAATGATATGTCAACAGTAGCTGATGCATTTTCCATGGAGGGGTGCTCAACCAGCAAAATTTTAGGGTAAAGTAGCTAAGTGAACTACTTTCTTGAAGGCAGAAAGGCATATTTGGATGGTCTAAGACCATGATTTAGGAACAGAGGGTACCGCGGTTCAAGTCCTGCTTGGAAGGAGAGAATTCTTTCTGACTGTGTTGCGAGTCACAGGTAATTTGGGAACTCGTGACCTGGCACAAGGGAAACGAGGGTGCAGCGAATGGTATTTTCGGTCTTTGACCACTTGTTGGAGAGCTGATCTACTCACTCCCTACCCCTCTACGAGCTGCATCTGAGCATTGATCCTTGAAGGGCGGTGGCGTTCCTACGGAGGCGGAAAACTCGGCATCAAGCCGAGTTTGACAAGAACCTCGATTTTTAAACTGAGTTCGCTCATTTCAGTTCAACCAACTCGCAACACGAATAGTCCTTGGCTGCAACACGTACAATAGATTGTCCAAATGTTCACCCAGGAGGGCATCCTGAGCGATATAGGAAAAGAATGACTTGAGACTGGAGAACTTGAGGAGATAAGAACACTCCATACTTGACTCGTAGAATCTACTCCCCCCCCCCCCCCCAAACCCATACACCCCCCCCCCCCCCACACACACACAGACACGCACACACATCAACTCGATCATTGCTATCTCATGCCTACTGTGCACTTGATGAAATGCCCACTTACATTGTTATGTCTTAGTGCTAGCTGGTGACTTGTTGCTGATTACGTTGTAGTAGCTTGAATTATGTCCCTGTCCCCGTACTGTCTTATATCAGGCAGCTTTGCAATATTCTTCTCCTATATCCCTGATGATGCCCTCCTGGGTCACATTTTTAGACAATATATTGTACGTGGTGTATCCAAGGACTGTTGGTGTTTTGCGAGTTGCGTGTACTGAACATATGACAGGGCTACAATGGAGTATCAATGCATACGTTAACTCAATACAATACAACTCAATCAAGCCAATACAATCGTTGTTTTCGTGAGATCCTAGTGCCCCGTGGCACAACCCTCGTCACAGACACAAGCTCCTAATTCTCTTGTTGGTTAGAAGGTGTTCTTTATTGATCTGTCCCTGTTCTCCGGAGTTGTGTGATTATAGGAAAAATAGTGTGCAAACTGAGTCGGACATGTATGGAAAAGTGTTGTATCGTGCTCTTTACAGTGGGTGCCCAATCGGGCAAAGCACAAACGAAAAGGGTGCCGTGAGTCAGTGCTGTCATGCAGCACCATTCTCCCGCCTGGTTATGAACCGTGGGAGAGTTAACATAAACATGCAAAAAAGAACAGAAGAAAAGCGAAGAAGACTGTATTAAAACCTAGCAACCATCGTGTTATTCGAGTAGAAATAAGGGTGGACGGTCCATGGACGCACGAAACAATTAAAAAGGAAAACAAGAAGAAAAGAGAAAAAAACAGCGCAGCTAGCTGCAGCTCAGAAGTGCGGGAGGCATGACAGCTCTACGACCGCACGTCCAGTACACAAATTTTCGCGGCGGGTCGGCGAAAAACGCTACCTGATGCGGTCTTGACGTCGACAACACGGACAACACCATCGCGGCCTGGATGGACAGCTGAGACGACACCTTTGGGCCAGGAACCCCGTGGTGCGTTGTCATCCGCGATAATGACAATGTCGTTTACGACGAGCTGCTTCGTTTGGCGGTTCCACTTTGTGCGGCGAGCGAGAGTTGGAAGGTACTCGCGAACCCAACGGCGCCAGAACATATCTGCAAGGGCTTGCGCAACGCGCCATTGGCGCCGCAGCGAGACATCTCCTGCCTGCGCGATTCCTTGAAGAATGGCACACGAGGAACCGATCAGGAAGTGGTTCGGAGTCAAGGCCTCGTCGTCGGCGGCATCCAGACTGACATGTGTGAGAGGTCGACTGTTCACGAGTGCCTCTGCTTCTGCCAGTGCGGTCAGGAGGGTCTCCTCCTTGGGATGGCGCTCTTTGAGGATGGCGTGAAGTGCGGTCTTGATGGATCCAACGAGCCGCTCCCAGGCTCCGCCCATGTGGGGTGCCGCCGGCGGGTTGAACGACCATGTAATGCCGTCATGAGAAAGCTGGTCCTGGATGCGAGCTTCATTCAGCTCACGAATGGCCTGGCGGAGCTCCTTGGCGGCGCCTTTGAAGTTGGTTCCGTTGTCTGAGTGGATCACCAGTGGACAGCCTCGCCTGCTGATGAATCGCCGGATGGCCATTAGCGTTGAGTCTGTGGACAGGTCGTGCGCCAGCTCCACGTGAACGGCTCGGGTGGCGAGACAAGTGAAGAGAGCGCCGTACCGCTTCTCATGTCTGCGCCCAACAGTGACAGACAGCGGGCCGAAGTAGTCCAGTCCTGTCCGTGTGAAGGGTCGCTGAAAGGCGTCAGTGCGGCACTCTGGCAGGGCCGACATGATTGGTGGCTGCGGCTTGGCACGGAGATTCTTGCAATGCTGGCACTCGCTCCAGGTGCTTCTTACCGCTGTGCGGATACCGGGTACCCAGTACTTCTGACGCAGCTCGTTCACTACGCGATCCTGTCCTTGATGTAACGACCAGACATGGTGTTGCTGTATGAGCAGCCTAGTGAAGGCGTGCTTCGGCGGGAGCAAGACAGGTTGGCGCAGGTTCTTGTTTTCAACCTTTGCATTCCGTACGCGGCTGTCAGAGCGCATGATGCCATTGTCGTCGATGAAGGGTGTCATCTGGACCAGGCGGCTGTCCTTGTTGACTGGCTTGCCATTGCGGAGCGCAGCGAGTTCTTCTGGGAAGCCTTCCGCTTGTGCAGCTTTCCACCAAAGACTCTCCGCGGCTCGTAGCTCGGGGACTGTCAGCGACGGCTTGGCAGTGTCTCTTCCTCCGTGTCTCAGGTGGCGAGTGAAGCGTAGCACCCAGGCGGTTGCTCTTACCAGGCGACACCAGCTTGAGAAGCGCTCGATCTCTGGTAGTGCTGCCTTCAGGCTGGGTGGCTCTGAGCTGTCTCCGGCTGCCGCGTGGACGCCACTGAACGCACGCTTCAGCTCGAGATCATCCGGGTCCGGCGTACGAGTCTCCTCGGCGGGCCAGTCTGCTTCGCCTTGCCTCAAGTAGTCCGGGCCGCCGAACCAGCGATCGTCCGGCTGCAAGCGCTGGGCAGAGATGCCTCTGGAGAGGTCGTCGGCTGGGTTCAGTCTTGTTGGTACCCAGTGCCACTGATCTACTTCTGTTGTGTCTGTTATTTCCGCGATCCGGTGGGCCACAAATGGTTTGAATTGCCGGGCGTCCGAGCGTATCCACAACAGCACCGTTCTGGAGTCTGTCCAGAATATGACCCGTGGAATTGAAATACGCAGCTGCTCCCGTACGGTACAGGATAGGCACGAGGCGAGGACCGCAGCCTGGAGTTCCAGACGGGGTATCGAGGCCGGTTTCAGTGGAGCAACGCGTGCCTTCGCTGCAACTAGGGACACTGCCAGCTGAGTACCGTGGTTCGCTACTCTCAAGTATGCAGCGGCGCCGTATGCTTTCTCGCTTGCGTCAGCGAACACGTGCATCTGGATGTCTGTAGCGATTGCAATCAACGGTGTGTAGCACCGTGGCACTTCTACGGTGGCAACCTGATCTAGCTCTGCAGCCCAATCTGTCCATCTCAGTGCAAGAGATGCAGGGAGTTCATCATCCCAGCCTATGCCAGCTCTCCACACGTCTTGGAGAAGCATGCGTGCGATGATGGAGTGGCAGGACACCAGGCCGAGTGGGTCGAATACCGACATTGTGTGTCGCAGGACGCTTCGCTTCGTGACTGGTGCCTTTGGATCTGGCTTCGTGCCGCAGGAGAAGCCAAGAGTGTCCTTCGCAGGGTCCCATCGGAGGCCCAGGGTCTTCTCGATGGGGAGGTCGTGGCTGTGGACGTTCACGATTCTTGGTGACCTCAGATCTGATGGAAGGCTCTCGAGGACCGTCGGAGAGTTGCTCACCCAGTTACGGATCACAAACCCTCCCCCCTCGTGGACGTCCATCACCTTGCGAGTCAGTGCTACAGCTTCCTCGGTTGTTGGGCTGCTGTCGAAATAGTCGTCGACATAGTGGCACTCCTCTATGGCTGTCACGGTTCGCGCATCTCCGGAAGCCAAGTCGTGCGCATTGATGTTCTTCGCAAACTGGGCGGCGGTTGGTGAGCAGACTGCACCGAACGTCATCACGTCCATCTGGTACACATCAGCTGGTCTGCTTGCATCCATGTCGCGCCAGAGGAAGCGTTGTGCATGACGGTCTTCGGGACGCATCTTCACCTGGTGGAACATCTCCTTGATGTCTGCACCAAAGGCAACCTCATACAGTCGGAAGTTGTACAGAACTTGTGTGATCGGCGTCAGGAGGTCGGGGCCGGTGAGGAGGAAGTCGTTTAGAGACTTTCCATGCGACTTTGCCGCGGCGTCAAACACCAGTCGCACCTTGCCTTTCTCTTTGTTGTACACAGCAAAGTGTGGCAGGTACCATGTCCGCTCTGGCTGGTGGGTGGCCTCCTCAGGTGACAGCTTCCGGGCATACCCCTGTTCCAAATAGCTGTCGATCTTGCTCTGGTAGCCTTGTGCAAGCGTGTCATCCTTCCGCAGGCGCCTCTCCAGCTGCTCGAGACGCTGGGCAGCCGTTGCCTTGCTCCGTGGAAGGGTGATGTTGTCCTCCCGCCAGAGAAGCCCCGTTTGCCACCGGCGTCCGGTACGCGTGGTGAGAGTGTCTAGCAGCTGGAGTGCGCGGTCGTCAGCCTTGCTGCGGATTTTCGCGGGCTTGACCCCGAGGGAGTCTAGGGCGAACGACTGCTGGACCAGGTCATGGAGGTCGCTGTCGAGACCCCAGGTGGAGAGGACCACACCTTCATCGACTCTGCAGCTTTCGGCGATCGTTTTGCCATGAACAACCCACC